TAAAAAAAAAAAAAAAGGTTAGCAACATGTTTTGACTCTTGCTTTGGACTGACAGAATTTTTTTGGTCATGGAGAATTGGCTGACTTCCATTGTGCACTTTGATGCTTTGTTCAGGGTCGTATTGGTACACCCATGTTTCACGACCAGTAATAACATGGCCCAAAACATCATCTTGCCTCTCCAAAAGGTCTTGGCAAACTTCGACTCTCCTTTCTTTTGTTCATTGGTGAGCTCCTTCAGGACCACTTTTGCACACACCTTTCTCATGCCAAGATTTTCAGTTAAGATTTTCCTGTTTCTCTATCGATGTTTACTTGGTCTGCTTTGTGTCTCACAGTCAGCTAATGATTTTGATACACAATTCGAATTTTTGTAATGTTTTCTCAGTTCTGCTCCTTACTGGCTGCCCTGACCTCTTTTCATCAGTGATGTGTTCTCTCCACTCAGAAAAACCTTTAATCCATTTATACACTGACATTTTCTTCATGGCATTATCCCCATAAAATTGGACTAACATATCCCTGATTTCACTTCCACTCTTGTCAGGTTTAAGAAGAAATTTTGTGTTTGTTCATTGCTCTAATTCAAGCTCAGAGATTCTCACGACAGCACACAAAAATATGCAACAACAATAAACACCATTCAGCAAGACACCAACACACATCGACACAAACACAGCTGTGAGATACTGATACACCAAGGTAATGAAATCTTACCGAGCTGTTTGTACAGTGCTACCAATGTAAGTGTATGGTGGCAAGTTCATGAACTTAATTGGCAGATGTCGTATATCCTTATTTATTTTGTTTGGATGATTTATCGTTAGCTGTCAATGTGGTATTTAGATCCCCTACTATAATTGTGTTTTTGTCAGTTTCTCCCTTAAGTTCTGTCAGTAGTTGCTTTATATATTTTGGTGCTCCCTGATTAGGGGCATGTATATTGATAATTATGTCTTTTTGATGTATTGTCTCCTTTTTCATTATGAAATGTCCATCTTTGTCTCTTGTTACCTTTTTTACCTTGAAGTCTATTTCATCAGATATAAGTATGTTTACACCAGCTTTATTCCAAAACCATTTGTTTGGAGTATCATTTTCTACCCTTTCACTTTGAGTCTATATTTGTCCTTGTAGCTGAGATTTGTCTCTAGAATTGTAGCATATGGTTGGGTATTGGTTTTTTTTTAATCCAATCTGCTACTGTGTCTCTATTGGTGAGTTCAGACCATTTGCATTTAGGGTGATTACTGATCTATGAGGATTTCCTCTAGCCACTTTATTTTTTGTCTTCTGGTATCTCAGTGTCCCCACTGGTTTTTTTTTTTTTTTGCCTTTGTGTTTTTGTTTGTTAGCTTGGTGGTATTCTATGATGTGTACTGTTTCTTCTTTTTTATGTAATGTGTCTAAGTTGTGGATTTTCTTGTATGTGGTTACCACTAAGTTTATGTAAAAGAAAGTTTCATATATACAGTAGTCCTTTTTCTTCTGCATGCATCTTATCTCCATTTCCTTTTCTAAATTCAGAGCTTTACTGAATTTACTGAAAATCCCTCCTCTTTTATGTTTTTGTTGCCACAAATTATCCGTATTTATGCTGTCAGTTCATTTCTGAGTTGCAGTATCTATTGTCTTCTCTTTTTCTTTTTTATGTTTTTTACCTGCTTTAATCTTTATGTTATATTTAAGTATACAGTGCCCTATTCTGAATAGGGGTTGCCATTTCCTGTTTCTGTCTGTCTGTCATCATACTCATAGTTTTGTATCCTTTGTCTTTTTGTTTCTGATAGAAAATTCCCCTTCAGTATTTCTTGTAATGCAGGACTTGTGGTGGAAAATTCACTCAGCTTCTCTGTGTCCAGAAAGGTCTCTTTCATGGATATATTATCCTTGGTAATTTCTCTTTCAATAGTTTGAATATTTGACTCCACTCTCTCTTCGCTTGTAGTTTCTGCTGAAAAATCTGATGATTATCTAATGAATTTTCCTTTTTTAGCTATCATCTTCTTTTCCTTCGCTGCCTTGAGAATGTTTTCTTTGTCATTATTTTTTGACAGCTTCAATATAATGTGCCTTAAAGAAGGCCTGTTAGGACTGAGGTAATTAGGTGTTCTGATTGCTTCTCAGACTTGAGGATCCAGTTCTTTCCATTTTTGGGGGGAAGTTCTCATTGCCTGTTTGAATAAACTCTGTTCCCTTCTCCCTGTTTTCTTTTTCTGGTATACCCATTATTCTTATATGGCTCTTTCTGATGGAGTCAGATAGTTTTTGTAGAGTTGTTGTTGGGTTTTTATTATTATTGTTTCTTTTAACTCTCAAGTCTCTCTTTTCTTCATCTGCATCATTTCCAGATTTCTATCTTCGATATCACAAATAGTTTCCCCCATCTGGTCAGCATGATTTCCTAACCTTGCTGTTTGATTCTTCATCTCTTTTTTTTGAGTTGTTCAGCTCCAGAATTTCTACTTGGTTCTTTTTTAAAATTTCAATCTCTTTGGTATTCATTTTGTTCATTGATTTTATTTCTGAGTTCATTAATTTGAGTTTCCTTGCATCTCATTGAGTTTTTCATAACTGCAATATTGAATTGTTAAGCAACATATTTCTGTTTCTTTAAGGTTATTTTTCTGGAAAATTTTCATTTTCTTTCTGAGGTACCTTGTTTGTTCATGATATTTGATGAATTATTTCTCTGCTTAGGCATTTATGGGAGTGAATTCTGCTTAATAAGACAACTTTCCTTTGTTTTCCAGTAGGTGGTGCTAAAGCATTTTATTTTCTCTTGCACTGCTCTGGCTGGTTTTTCCGATCTCTGCTAGGGCACTGTGGGATATGACTTGTATTCCCTGAGGAGGTGGGTATCCCCTCTGTGACCAAGTCACTTCAGTCTCAAGCACCACCCAGTGGGAAAGTGTGGTGGGTGATGGGGTTCTGAGCTCCTGAAACCCCAGTGCTACCCCTGCAGCCAGGTGCTGTGCTGAGCTGTCCCAGGTGACCCTGCTGAAATCAGCCACAAAGGGTGGGGTGGGCTGGGCTGGGAGAGGCTGCTGTTGTGTCTGTGGCTTTGTTCTTTTCCCAGTAATGGCGACTGCCAGACCTCAGATGCCTCACCTCTGTATCTCCACCCTTGTCACTTGGTTTAGTTGCAGTGTGTCTGCTGTTCAGAAACTCTCTCCAGTTCACGAGGTTGTAGGTATTCTGCTCTGTAACCCGGCACTTACTGGAAGTTTTTCTGAGGCTTCCTGCTAGATCTTGTAGGGTGCAGGGAAGTGACATCTGGGAGGGTAGGGGGATGTACATGGCTTTGTTGCTGTTTTCTGCCTGGAAATGGTGGCTGCTAGAATACAGCTGTTGTACTTCTGTAATGGTCTCTGCCCTGATCACTGGGTTCAGCCATATTATATGCTGGTCACTCAGACAGGAATGCTTGGGAATACCGAGAATACACCTGCAGCATGAATCCTCCCCTCTCCCGAGACTGTAGTGAGCTCTGGGCTACATCCGTGGCACCATCTCTGTACTTCTCCCTTCGCTTCTCATTTGCCTTTTTGCCCACCTTCAGATGTTTCAATGCATGGATCTTTCAGACATATTTGTATGTTGCACAGGGAACCCTGTTATATTGTTTAACTTGTTGGAACTTCGAAGGGAGAGATCAAAAGGACCCCTCACACCATCATGCTTCTGACATCACTTTCTACCATGGTCTCTTAAACCTTCATTAGCAGTGGAATCATATACTTACTCCCAAATATATGACGATGGCCACAAGCTGCATGCAAAATGCTAATGCTGGCATTCACGCTATGGCCAACTAACATTAACAGGGCTTTGTTTTACTATAACTTCAGCTATCCTACACACTGGCCAGTTGGGTATCTTATTTCTGGGCCATAGTTCACATTTCCCCATGCTGAGGCTTTTTTCATGCTGTTCTTCCTACTTGCAAGGTACTCTATCATGTCTGCTTATCAGAATGTTAGACTTCAAGGCCCACTGGGACACCACTCCCTCTATACTATCTCTTAGATTCCTCCTATTCAGTATCACTTTCCTCTACACCATTTTAGCACCACTGCTTGAAAATCTTTTGGCACAATATTATAGTACTCTGTAACTCTCCAGCCACTCCCCATCCACTCAACATACTGACTGGTAAGCAACTTATGAGTGGAGACCAAGCCACATTTAAAGGTGAGTGGGAATAATGCTATCATTTGTTAGCTGTGATTTGTTGATTGTGATCTCTTCAGTCTTTATAAAGCTATAATTCTTAACAATTCTAGTGAAGTCCTTTCTCTAGTTATTGGATTGTGTCCTTTTTATGGGGTGCACTGGAGGCACTTGCTCAAACTCTACTCATGGTAAAAAGTCTCTTTTTCCTCTGATAACAATGTTCAACATCCAAGGTGTCATCAAAGTAATGGGAATCAATGGCTACGTCAGTGATTATGGGGTATATAGAAAGTAGTGGGCTGCAAATACACATCACTATGCTTAAAGAAAAGGAGAATCAATGTCTACTGTAATGAATAGATTCTAGCTTATTCACAGTTGCCCATGAAGGCATTAAGTACATACATGGAAGTAAACTTAACTGGAAAAAATACCCAAGATTGCGGCTTTCAAATAGAAATCAAGGAACTTTTCACTACATAACACTATTTCCTGTTAGTTGGGTTAGAAAAGCCTCTCAATTCAAATTCTATACAAACAAAAACTGTCACTTGCTTTTACTTCAGAACAGAAGGCCCACCCAGTGTCTGGTTTTCTATGATTTGGCCACAGCAACAAATAAATAAACGAACAACCCCCTCCCCACCAAGAAACCTATCAAACACTGAAATGAACTGATGTGAAGCAATACAGAAATTGACATATACACGAGAATAGTATGCAATTGTTAAAGAATAAAGCAGCGCAAAACTGTGTGTACAGTGTTCTACCATTTATTTGTAAAGATTCTATAAATTGTAATATTTATCAATAAACACTAGCAAAAGTGCTCTCAGGGAAGGAGACTTTTCACTGCATAATCTATTCAAAGAACATATTTTTAAAGAAACAAACTCCAGAATAAAAATAATTTCCAATGAGTAAACTTAGTTTTTTTTCTGAGAGGCTTCTCTCTAATGGATATTAAGAATGTGGGAAAAGAGCTCATGAATGTCTTTTATTGTGGGCAATTATAATTGCAGTAAGCCTGTAATACTAATAGGGTTAAATTGGCCTTTGCAAAGCAAAGGTATCCGATTTCTGGTTTTTGTAAATTTTGGTGCTCAGAGGCAAGGAAGATCTTTGGCTTCATACTACAGTAGTTTTATAATGCTAAGAAAACCCTAAAGGTAGGGTTCTCTGAAATGTGGTTAAGTTGTATGGAAAGCAACAACTTAACCTAGAAGGATTAGGAACCTGTTAGCTTAAACTAACTATTTTATGTTTTTTTTACATGTGCTTATGTACACATACACCTTTTTTTAAATTTTCAAATGTTTGGAGTAAAGCAGTTATTTTGCAAATCTTCAACAGGGCAGACAACTGGTGACTAAAACAGAAATAAGAAAATAGAACAACAAAGCAAAAAAAAAATCCAAAATAAGACTGTCCACAAGCTACTTAACAATATGAATTCTTGAATGACTAAAACAAAAGACTCTTCTTCAGCATTCTAATGTTGACAATTAAAAACCTCTTTAGTAAACCTCGGCCTTCTCTTTGATGGAGCTGAAAAATATGGGGAGCATGTGCTGAGAGGAAAAGAAAAGAAAGAGATGGCATCAGCAAAAATCAAGATATTTTATTAATACTGATTACTTTTATTCTGTGCTTTTGTACAGAGAATTGTCAAATAATTATAAACTTATAGTAAATGTTTATTTTTAATTAAATAAAACCTCAATAGTGTTCACTGTCAAATTAGAATTATACCAAAGTTGCCATATGGCAGCACATACAATCATCCCCCTGGTGGCTGGAAAACAGGCTTAAAGCCATGGAGGGTACATGGTGATGAGGGAAGGCCATGCTTGGAGAAAGCTGGGGTTTTTAAATCACCTTCACTCCTTTTTAACTTCATCACCATTCTCTCCACTGTGCTTGAACACAGGAATCTGCTGACCATCCTTGAGCTCTAAGAAGACCTCATCAAGGTGCCACCTGATAGAAACCAAAAGTATAGTCTCTAATTAAAGGAACACTGAGTCAAAAGATATTGTCAAAAAGGGGAAAAAAAAGCAGTTGTTTGGAACAATGCCTTAAATATTTTTAAACACTATTTTATGTTAGAACTATATTAACATGACATTTTAACATTTTATTATAAGCTCTCATTACTTAACCAGCATCATTGTCAAGGTAAGTTTAACAATCAATAACGATGGGCGAATTGAAGGGGTGTATGGAGCCGGAGGCTTGCAGTAAGGGTTAAGCCTGAGAGCTGGAGGTTTATAGTGAGGGTTAAGCCTGAAAGCTGGCAGGTTGACAGGCTCTCAGGCCCAGGTAAGCAGCGTGAGAAGGTTGGCCGCTGAGGAGAAAACAGCCAATGGTCTTGAAAGCTACAGAGTGGAATGCCATCCTATTAACAGTTTATGCTCGTTATGTTTCGCTTTAACCCTGGGAAGATGGCTTCCCTACACCTTATGGAAAGCCCCGGGGAAGGTGTTCCCTGGGAGGAGGGGACTATTCCCTCAAGTTCCCCAAACCCCCCTACCTAAGGAAAGTTACTTTTGCTATAAAAGCTGTGTATAAACAATAAATGGAGCCACTCTCTGCTATCAGCACTGGGTGGAACTCCTGTCCCCAGCTTTCGTCTCTAGTCTCTTTCTTTTCCAGTCTCCCACCCAATCCTCTCAGGTACCCTCTTGGTAGACTCCTGGCTGACGAGTCAGGAGTGCTCGTTTGGTGCACGGGTCGCATCAAAGGGGCATCAAGGAAAGAGAAGGAGCAGCTTATTCCCCATTTCCTAATTCACATGGGCCTTCAATTCTTGGCTGGACCCTGGCCAGCTCCTCCACTAATCCAAGGTTTTGGAGTCAACGAGCCCTGGGAGAACCTAGTAGGGGCTGCCTATGCCTAAGGACTGCCTGCTCTTTTTGTCCTGGGGAATTAAAACACATCCTGGCTAAATAGCAAACATCTCTGAGAGAAGCTTCCTGTGGAGGAAATGAGTGAAGAATGTATTGAATAATTCTGGAACAGGAATTTATCCCTTTATTTATTTGTAACGATTGAGGCAGTAGTGTTAGAAGCTGTATCAAATTATAGTAGACTTACACTATAACTGTCAAGTTCTTCAAATTCAGCAGTGTTAGGAATGGACAATTCCATAGATTGCATTGGATAAAATGTCTGGACAAAGCTAAGAGCCAAAGAACTGGCTTGCTGCCCAGGCCATAAAACTTTTCTAGCTTTGAAAAACTAATTCATATTACCACAATCATATAACTACAAGTAAAAATGGGAATCAGGATTGCCTGTCTGAAGGTTCTCCTCTTGTTACCCCATCCCACCCACTTTCCCATACCTTTTTAAAAAGGTTTTTATTAAAAATATAGCTAGCATAAATATTCTATTATTTCAGGTGTACACTACAGTTATTCAACATTTATATACCTAAAGAAATGATCACTATAAGTCAGCAACCATCTGACACCATACCATGCTAGCACAATATTATTGACTATATTACCGATGCTGTACATTACATCCTCATGCCTTATTTGTTTTATACCTGGAAATTTGGAGCTCTTATTTCCCTTCACCTTTCCTACCCTTTTTAAATTTTTCAATTACACTTGATATTCAATATTATTTTATATTAACTTCAGATATACAGCATAGTGGTTAGACATTTATATAATTTAAGAGATCCCCCTGACTAGTCTAGTACCCACCTGGCACTATACATAGATTTTACCATATCATTTACTATATTCCTTATGCTATACTTTATATCCCCATGACTGTTTTGTAACTACCAATTTGTACTTCATAATCCCTTTACCTTTTTAACCCTGTCCCCCAAATCCCCTCCCAGCTATCACCCCAATAAATCTAGTACAGCACAGTTATTACAATATTATTGACTATATTCCTTATGCTATATCCTACATCGCCATGACTACTTTGTAACCAATCTGTACTTCTTAATCCCTTCCCCTTTTTTCACCCACCCCCAACCCCCCTTCCATCTGGTAACCATCAAAATGTTCTCTATACCTGTGAGACTGTTTCTGTTTTGTTTATTTACTTTGTGCTTTAGGTGCCACATAAAAGCGAAATCACATTGTTTCTGTCTTTCTCTGATTGACATACTCCACTCAGCACAGTACCCTCTAGGTCCATCCATCCATGCAGCTTCAGATGGCAAGAACCCATTCCCTTCAATGACTGAGCCATAATACCTCTTAAAGGGGGAATCTCTGGAAGAGCTGACATAAAGATGGCCCTCTGACTTGGATCCAGAGACAGGAATCTTCAACTGGTGGTATAAAAAGAGAGGTATAACTGAATATGTTGCTGTCCTTTCAAGAGATGACAAAACAATGCTTTCTAGAGCTAACCTTATAAAATCAAGTGATTATCCACAGAATTTAGTTGTTTCCTAACTTAAGCCTACCTGGAGAATTCACCTACTTTTCTATCTGGCTTCCTCCAAATATCCTGCCTCTTTTTGAATGGGTTGGTTGAGGCCAAGGGCCATCCTCTTACTTTGCAAGGAGACCATATGTGCCAGACAAAATGCTCTGAATCTTTGCAATGATTTAAAAATCCACAGTTAAGAAAGAACAAACTACTGATACATGCAGCAACATAGATGAATATCAAAAACATGTTTACTGAAAGAGACTTAGAGTATATAATGCATGATTCCATGTTCCAGAGCAGGCTTACTTCACTGAAAAAAAAATCAAGAAAAATGATTGCCTCTGGTGGGGCTGGGGGATGTGAGAGGGGGTGAACTGGGAAAAGCATAAGGAAACTGTTGGGTGATGGGAACAGTCTACATTTAGATAGGAGCTTGAGGTGTATGTATTTGTTAAAATTTATTAAATAGGACACCTAGATTCTTACCTTTCACAGAATGTAAATTTTACCTCAAAAAAAGGAACTAAAACAAATATTAAACTCTAGTTAATTATATACATGCTTATGTGTTTAAATGTGAAGTGTACAGGTGTTTGAAAATAATGTGTTCATGGACAAATAAAGATATGGCTAGAAGAACAGTATGGGGTAAAGCAAACAGAACAAAATATTAATTGTAGGATCCAGGTAGCAGTAATATGGGTTCCACAGCACACAGTATTTTATTTTTTTCTGTAAGTTTGAAACTTTTCATAATACGAGGTGTAATCAAACAATATGGTGAATGTTTTAAAAAAATTATTACAGTAAAAGACACATTGCCATTAATCCTTCTCAAAATACTCCCCCTTTCTTTGAACACACTTATCCCTGTTCTTGCCACTTTCTGAAGCAGTTCTGGAAGTCCTCTTTTGTGAATGTCTTTAGTTGTGCTGTCGTGGCTGCCTCAATGTCCTGAATTGATTCAAAATGTCTACCTCTAATGATCATTTTGACTTTGACTTTCAGGAAGAGCCAAAAGTCGCACGGTGCCAGATCCAATGAATACGGTGGATGATGACACACCATAATGTTTTTTTTTTTTAGGTTGGCGCACAAGTAATTGCGGTTTGGAACCGTGAATTTTAAATCATCATAACTAGGCTCAAACACATCTTTTTTTTTTTAAGATTTTTATTGGGGAATCGGGGGAAGGGGAACAGACAAGTTGCTGTCCTTTTGTTCTTCAGTCTAGTTGTGGAGGATGTCGCTTCACTGGCCCAAGTTGGCACCATCATTGCNAAGGGGAACAGACAAGTTGCTGTCCTTTTGTTCTTCAGTCTAGTTGTGGAGGATGTCGCTTCACTGGCCCAAGTTGGCACCATCATTGCGCTCTTTCCAGGCGAGGCAGATCAGTCGCCGGCTTTTGGACAACCGCTCTTGGCGGCATGAGGGCCGCTCACGCTGGCTGCTGGCTACACACAGTAGCCCATGGCAATCTACTGCAGCAGGGGCTGTTGCTTATGCTGTCGCCAGCGACTCAAGGCAGCCTACCTCCAGGTTGAGCTGTTGTTCAGCATCTTAGCTGTAGAGGGCAGTGTCACTGGCCCTCATATGTGGGATCTGAACCAGGGCCCTCTGGTGTACCAAGCCAGCTCTTAACCAACGCGCCACTTGGCCGGCCCTCAAACACATCTTTATTAATCAAAATAGAAACCATTACAATCAACACATTTTTGCCAATGAGAAATAAATTTGTTTATTCCTATAGCATAAAAATCCATCCTTTGGAATTTCAGAAACTCTTGGAAAGCATTTTCTGCATCCTGCTGGTTGTGGAAGTGTTTTCCCTGCAAAAAGTTGTCGAGATGCTTGAAGAAGTGTTAGTTGGTTGGTGAGAGGTCAGGTGAATATGGTGGATGAGGCAAAACTTCATAGCCCAATTTGTTCAACTTTTAAAGTGTTGGTTGTGCAATGTGCAATAGGGCACTGGCGTGGAGAAAAATTGGGCCATTTCTGTTGACCAATGCCAACTGCAAGTGTTCCAGGTTTCGGTGCATCTCACGGATTTTCTGAGCATACTTCTCAGATGTAATGGTTTTGCCGGGATTCAGAAAGCTGTAGTGGATCAGACCAACAGCAAACCACCACACAGTGACCATGACCTTTTTTTGTGAAAGTTTGGCTTTGGGAAGTACTTTGGAGCTTCTTCTCGGTCCAATCACTGAGCTGGTCGTCACCTGTTGTCGCATACAATCCAATTTTCATCGCATGTCACAATTTGATCGAAAAAATGGTTAATTGTTGTGTAGAATAAGAGAAAACGACACTTCAAAATGACTATTTTTTGATATGCGGTCAGCTCATGAGGCAACCACTTACCAAACTTTTCACCTTTCCAATTTGCTTCAAATGCCGAATGGTCAATGGTCTTCAGCAACTTTTCCTGTAGTTTTAAGAGGATCAGCTTCAATGATTGCTCTCAATTGGTCATTGTCAACTTCTGATGGCCAGCCACTACACTCCTCATCTTCAAGGCTCTTGTCTCCTTTGCAAAACTTCGTGAACCACAACTGCACTGTACATTTGTTAGCAGTTTCTGGGCCAAATGCGTTGATGTTTTGAGTTGTCTCTGCTGCTTTACGACCCATTTTGAACTTGCAAAAGAAAATCACTCGAATTTGCTTTTTGCCTAACATCATTTCCCTAGTCTAAAATACACATAAACAGCAAGAAATGTCATTAGCAAAAAAACATAAACCAGGAAATGTACATTAAAATGATGTATAACATAACCACATTTATTTAAGAATGTATTCCAATATCAAAGGCAAATTTCAACAATGCAAAAACTGTAGCTACGTTTGCACCAACCTAATATTTGACAGAAATTGCCGTACCAGAAGCAATGTATGCCACGGTGCATTGTCATGATGGAGAATGATTTATGGCACACTTTAAAACATACCTTCTCTCAACCGTAGTTCACACCCGACTGACTGCACCGAGCAAGTTGAAACTTGTCACACACTGTTACTAGGGTTTGACATGCCATTTCCCGTATTGAAGATCCCTGCCTTTCCATTGGACAGCACTCGGCAGCAGCATTCACTGTATTTTTTTTTTATCAGAATGAAAGACTCTATGTCACACATTACTTCTGGTATGACAATTTCTGTCAAATAAAAACATTCCGGTGTGTCCTCATCCACCTTATTCACTGGATCTGGCACCGTGTGACTTCTGGCTCTTCCCCAAAGTGAAAATGATTCAGGACATTAAAGCAGCCACGACAGCACAACTAAACACACTCATGAAAGAAGACTTTCAGAACTGCTTCAGGAAGTGGCAAGAACGATGGGATATGTGTGTTCGAAGCAAGGGGGAGTATTTTGAGGGGAACTAATGTTAATGTGTCTTTTACTCTAATAATCTTTTTTATTTAAACATTCACCATATTTTTTTAGCACACCTTGTAAAACAGAAAAAAAGGACAAAAAAAGAAAAAGTCCACTGTTTAAAGGGGTAACTATTACCAGCAAACAAGTGCATACTTTGACATGGGCTACAAAGAACAGGACTTAAGGAAAATATGTGAACACTCCCCTGAGACAGGCAAGGAGTTCTTGGTTGGTTATTTGTCACCAGTCCCCACAGGCTGGGCTCACACCACAGAGGTGGTGCTGCCTGGATGCTGCCATACCCTGAGCCTAGGGAATCAGCCTCAGAACCTCAGATTGAGCTGGCAGGTGTTTGCTAATGCTTCTATTTAGAAAAATATTGAATGCAATATTTTTGGTTTCTCAGTGAAAACTAAAGACTGTGTGAGACTTGTGAAGGGAACACAATGTGGTACCAAGGAAGCCCGTCACAAGGCACCTCCCAAGGTGTTGGGAAAAGATACTTTCCTGGGCTAAGAGATGGTGTATCTCATCCACTCCAAATTATCACCAAGAGAAAGAACTACTTTGGTACACACACACATTTATATTTTCCAAAATTATCTCTTTCATTTATTTAAACCACTTTAAAAAAGACACAGGCTTTGGGATGGTGGCTTCATATGTGGACAAGCAGTCACCTAGTCACACTAAAGCAATTCTTCAGGGTTTTACTTTTGGAATCAAGCTACAGCTCTTCTCAAGGGATTATAAAATTAGGCAACAGAACACACATTGTGCATCTCTGCATGCAAAACAGAAAACAAAAAACCAAGAAAAGGGCAGAAGAAATAACTAGGATTTTGAAGAACAGCGAACACAGAGGAATCAGTGTACTAACTTTGGGGCAGCTGTGCCTGTGTGGGTGTTTGAAGCACTTTATAGACTGGGTTCTTCATTGCCCAGAGCTTGCCAAAGGGTAAAGCAAGAGTGTCTGGCATACCAGAGTGTTGGTATGTAGTGTCTATTTCACATGTACACGTAGGAAACAATTGTTCAGTATGACAACTACCTCATGAACAATGAAACTTCTTACCTATAGACAAAATAAAGGAACTACAAATAGGGACCCTGGGATAAGATGGTCTGTGTTGTATGCGGCATCCTTATAAACTGCTGATTGTCAGGGAGGTGAATAGCCCTGACAGGATGGCAAGCATACCTCACAAACCGGAGAAGCAAAGGCCGGGGGTGCAGGTGGCTCTGCGGCTGCCTGCACTCCTGTCACTGTAGGGTCACAGTATTTGGCAGCAGCAGAGGCCAGTCCATAGCACCACAGCCAACACCATCATGGTGCTCCCCAGGGCCCTGGGCTGCAGAGAAGCCCTCTCAGAAGCAGCTGGCATGTGCTAGACAAGGCCAAAGTGAAGGCTGGGCCTACCCAGAGGAGGTTCCACACTAACAGCAGCATGGTGTCAGCCACTCACTGGGTCCTGGATCAGGGAGCTGATGCTGCATCAAGCTGCCCTCAGCAATGTGCCTGAGGCTTCCTAAGAACCGAAGCCAGGCCCTGTGCTCCGTGCTGGGGGATACTGTGAACAGCCAGACCCAATCCCTGGCCTTTCCGAGTCCTTGTGCTTGTGGGGATCTGGCTAGGTGACCAGAGATGGGGAAGCATAGAGGAGCCACACCACATGGTATGAGGGATTTGGTGACAATGGAAATAAGGCCATCTGGCAGAATGGGCACTCCATCAAGTCCACCCCCTCCCCTTTTCTCCTCTGGGTTTTCTCTCACTTGGCATCACCGTCTCCACTTAACTCAGGATGCACATTAGAGCATTAGCTCTGACCCACCCCTCTCCTACCATAATGCTGTTTCAAGTCCTATCAACTGGCCACAATAGCTTTCATATCCACATTTCCTTTTTCTAGGCCACAGCTCTGGTTCACACTCTCACCACTGTATACCTGTGTGGATACACTGTTCTCCTAAGGGCTTCTAGACCCTGGGTATTCCCAATCTGAATGAATTTACCTTCTTTTAAAATCAGATCAAAGATTTTTATCAGAATACTTGAGCATGAATTGCTTTTGCAGTTAGAAAAGAAAAAACAATAAAACTATTTCCATGAAAAATAGTAACAATAACAATAAACAAACTAGGTCAGATCATCTCACTCTTACCCTCAAAATAATCCAGGGCTTCTGCTGGCCAGAATCAAGTGCGTACACCTCATGATGAGGTTGCCTCAGCCTGTCCTACCTGACCACGACCTCCCTTGGAAGCCTAAACCTGCAGAGGTCACACTGGCAGGGAGCAGTGAGCTGCCTTCCTATGTACCCTGTTTCTCAGTCTGTCACTCCTTTTCTTCACAACAATTTCCCAGCCCACTAACCACTCTGCTAGGCCTCTACTACAATATTTACTTCACCTTGTCTCATTCTGGAGTTTTACACTATAAACTCCCTGAAAGCCTTCTGTATCTCTGTATCCCCCATACAGCTTAGAATCATTGCTCTAACTCAGATGTATTCAACACATACTTGTTAAGCAGAAGAAAAAATACATTTTATATTCATGTGAGTTTTATCAGCTGAAGTATAAAAGAAGATAAGACACAGCTGAAAAATAGACTGGCATTCCACACAATCAATTGTAAATAAATAAGCTTCAAAACTAAAATTTAAAGAGCTGTTTACATTTGAATGAGAGTTAACTGGCTTTAGATATATTTCAAGTTGAAAATTGAAGTCAGTAGTGGCAAACTACCACTGGTCATTTCTCTATCAGTTCAAGATGGAGACTTGAGCACAAATGCTATATTCCCTGCCACATCAATTCTCCAGAAAGGAAGAAAAATATATGAAAATCAATTAATCCATAGGTTTTTTCAAAAGGTCCTAAGTAATTCCTACTAGCAGTTTTATATAGTGGGTTTTCCCATCCCAAACTCTTACTCCAGCTTCCCCCAAAACATTCTACCGATTATGGCAGCCCCTCCCCACCGCTGCACTAGGCACCGGCCTGCAGTTCGCTGGGGGAGCACATTACCTGGGCATCAGCAATGTCCACAAAGTTGTACTTGTCAGTGAGTTGGAGATAGTGAATGTTGAGAGGGGTGCCCAGAGCTTCCAGGGCCTCTGGGCGGCTATGCAGCTGTTCCAAAGCCAACTGGTAATAGGAACCCCTGGAAAAAGTTTCTAAGTGGAAAAGGTAGTTGTTACAGTTTTTTCTTTATTGAGCTTGGTCAGGTAGACTCTCTGTAGAAAGTTAAATGACACAATTCATGTACAGCATGGAAACAGATACAAATGTGAAATTTATAGATAGAGAATTAGGGACTATCTACTCTAAACTGTCCATTGTTAGAGACTCCAAACCAAAGTCTACAAAGTCAGGATCTGTGGGGATGTGGCAGATGACCTTGGGCAAAGTACTTGACCTTGCTGTGCCTCAATTTCTTCATCTCTCATTTCCTCACCTCATTTCTTCATTTAAGGGGTTTGATCAGATGTTCTCTAATGTTCCTTTTGGTTCTAAAGTCCTAGGATACCATAATTTACTCAAAGTGACACAGCTAGTTCAAGGCAGAGCTGGGGCCAGAATCTATGACTGGGCTTCTAAACATTATTTCTTCCACTAAGATGAAGGTCCTGATAAACCAGCATAAAATAGACAGATCACAATATCAACAACAACAAAACCCTCAGGTCAAGAAATAGGACATGAAAATGCTAATTTTTCAAGTTACAGATTTAACTAGTATTTCATATAGATCAGCGGTTCTCAACCTGTGGGTCACGACCCCTTTGGGGGTCAAATGACCTTTTCACAGGGGTCGCCTAAGACCATTGGAAAACAAAAAGATATTTACATTACGATTCATAACAGTAGCAAAATTACAGTTACAGAGTAGCAACGAAAATAATTTTATGGTGGGGGTCACCACAACATGAGGAACTGTATTAAGGGGTCGCAGCATTAGGAAGGTTGAGAACCGCTGATATAGATAACGCTTATAAACTGCTCTGTCTCAGGTACCCTTGTTGGCCCAATGTCTACTAGGAACTCCAGGCAGCACCTCCCTGAAGGTGTAAAGTACATGCTGCCCTAGGAGACAGCAACGGTAGGCTTCCCAAGGAAGGTTTTCGGTTTGGCAACAAGAAAGCACTTCCCTCCTGTAGGCCCAACCATAGTAATGGAAGGGAAAAGCATAGTGAGCTGGAAGAGGTTAAGGAGAAGGCCCCTCCTGTGCTGCTTCCCAGGAGTGGGACTGCAGGGGGCGCTGTAGGGGTAAGCAAGGTGCCAGCCATGATAGGACAAGAAGGAACACATGCAGGTCCAGACACTTAATCTCTATTGAACGATTTACATGGCTAGACAATGTTCTCAATATCTCACAGATTGTGAGATTTATTTAATTTCACAACCTCATGCATAAGCACTAATCCCTCAACACACAGATAACAGAGGCCCAGGAAGGTGAGAGACTCCTATACAAGGCCACACAGCTAGTCAAGAGCTGGAGCTGGATTGAACCAGTTGGCTGCAGAGCCCGGCTCAGCTGTGGCTATCAGCTAACTACAGCCTCCTAAGGGAGAAGGCCATTAGCCCCTGTAATATGCACCTATTCCTGTCTGTCCTGCCTCTCTCTCTTTGGCAGAAGGAAGAGGAGGCTGAGTTATTCTAGTCTGAATTACCCCTGGAACCTCTGAGCCAACTGAAAGAAGTAGGGAAGAATTGGGGGAGAGGATACTGTGCTGTTTGCCTGTCTGCTGGTGATTCTAACATCCCCACAGGAAGTGAAAATGCTGCAATCAGGGTGAGAAGCCAAGCTGGGAGGGCATACAGGAGCTTCAGAGAAAGTCCTAAAAAATGCTGCTACTTTGTAACCAGTAGCCATTAAATGACCTTAAATGTCTTGGCTGCTCACAATAATCGTGGCCTGTCTTTGCAAATTCAAATTTGAGTGCAGTGGGGCTGGAAGCTGCATCTGTCAAAATTTTGCCATCCTAGACCTTGCTTTAATTTTCTGCTCTCACCAGAGTCCCTTGCTCAAGGTTACCTCCTCCACTAAATCAACATTAAAGAGTGGCAGGGCAAACAGGCTGAGGACACTGAGAAATGGCCAGTTTTCCCCACCTGTGAACCCTCTGTCCTTTATATCATCTCAGAAATATTGGATCTCCTGTGTGTGTACTGGAGTGAAAGCACATCTTCATTTTTGCAAGGCTTCTTATGCAAACACACTGGAGTCCTTTTATTTGCACTGTGGCTCCTAAAAAACTGGAATTATAGGATAAGGAGGAGGCTATAGGGAATGGAAAGGTGTACTGGCCTCTAAAAACAGTGCTCTCCTCCTTTCCCTAATCTGCAGAAAGCATCTGAATTATTTCCTTCGATGGAGGAACAGGAATAGGAGAGCTATGACAAAGCCAGCCTCAGGTGGTTGCTGGGTACTTACTTTGTATGAGGTAATACACAAGGGCACAGCCCCCACTCGTCATCACACTGGTAAAAAGGACCAGTTTCCCCAGAGGTACTGGCATCCTGCTTCCTGGAGACTTAAAAACAAAAGATGGGAATTCACTGTTAGATTCAGTTTGTGCAAAGGGCCTGCCTGGATTGGGCCCCACAGGGAAAGGAGAGCTAGGGAGGAAGACAGCAAGGAGGTAAGGCCTCTGTTGTTGGCTTTCAAAATGCCAGGAGTGGATTCGAGCAGAAGCAGATGTGCCCTTCTGAGAGTGGCTCGCATCCGGGACCCAGGCTGTGGGGTGATGGGCAGAATTCAGCCTTGTGCCAAGTCCTGCTCAGCAAGAAAGCACAGCCACTTCGGGTTGTGCTGGCTAGTAAACAGGACACTTAGCCTTTTGTGGTAATACCAAGTCTGTGAGCCTTCAAAAGAGCCTGAGTGGTCACTGGCTGTTTTCTTTCATATTCGGGAAAACGTCCTACCCCCTGGATGAAGAAACTATGGTCATGACTTTCAGGCTGAATGAATAGATGGAGAGGAGCCAGCTCAGCAAATTCAGGGCACCATACCCACCTCCACCTTCACTCCTGTCCCCTGAAGGTCTGGGCTGGGCTAGGAGTGGCAGGTAGGCCTTGATGAGGCCAATGATCCTCCTTCCTGGAGGCCACTTAACCACTGCTCACACCCGCTGGCTCTTTCTAGAAAGCTCTAAAATACTAGGACACTGGCTTACATTAGGGATCACAGTTCCAATGCCCACTGGGCTAGAAGTGTCACCTAAATGATAGCAGACACTGAAAGGTGAGGAACACATGGCCCAGTCAAGGGGCAGCTTCAGCTCCGCTCCAGCTGGCTGTGGCCAAGGGAGCAAAGTCTGAGGGTTCTTCCAATTGTTCAAGAGGTCTTTGGGCCGGCCGAGTGGCACATTGGTTAAGAGCTGGCTCGGGATGCCAAACGGCCCCGGTTCGGATCCCACATATGAGGGCCAGTGACACTGCCCTCTACAGCTAAGATGCAAAAACAGCTCAACCTGGAGCTGGGCTGCCGTGAGTCGTCGGTGACAGCACAGGCTGCAGCCCCTGTTGCAGTGGATTGCCATGGGCTACTGTGTGTGGCTAGCAGCCAGCGTGAGCGGCCAGCAGCCACTGTGAGCAGCCATCCAGAAGCCGGCGACTGATGTGCCTCACCCGGGAAGAGCACAATGATGGTGCCAACTTGGGCCAGTGAAGCAACGTCCCCTACAACTAGACTGAAGAACAAAAGGACAGCAACTTGTCTGTTCCCTTTCCCCTTATTCCCCAGGGTTGGTCCCATCCCCCAATTCCCCAATAAAAATCTTTTAAAAAAAAAGGGGTCTTTGATGGGAAATTGCCTGAATTATAAATTTTGACAACCAATTAAAAAACAAACCTAACATAATATATCTGCAAGTCAGATTGTTTCTGTCAGCTTTCTCCGCTGTGCTGTGACCACCCGTGCTGCATCGGGCATCCTTACCCTAAGTGAGAAAAATTCCTCTGTCTGTCTTTGCTGACATTTCTACAAAAAGAAATGAGAGTTTGAGATGGAAATTCCAGGTTTAGATAAAGGAAAAGATGATAAGTGTATATGTCCTCATTTGGACACTCAATCTTAGATTTCATGAGCTTCCTTAGAAAACAGCCTTTGATGTGATCTAATGAATGGGGTTGGAGACACTACAGTGAAGAGCTAGGATGTATAATGCTAGATCCTCCACTGGTTGCATTTGTGAGTCAAGGGAAACACATTCCATCATCTGCTTCTCTGCCTTCTGGTACAGGAAGAGTAGTAACAACTGTATACCTATTCTTTCCAAAACCTGATGGTAAATGAATCCATAAGAAGGCCTGTTGGACAAAGTTCCTCTCGTGGATGTTCTTTCTGGGAACTGATAATTAAACACACCCTTGGACAGGGCCGAAGTTGACTAGTTCTATACAGAAATAACCTTGAATCCATGTTTATGTACATAAAATGTTTTGATCAACCAAAAAATTAGGCAGAGTGAAGTTTTAGATCATCCTTGAATTATTTACTTATATACTGTTGTGTACAACTAAGAAAAGGTGGCTGAAACCCCCAGTAAATGTATTGTAATTGCTGTGAGAGTTTCAGCTGATGCTGCACAATATGCAAGAAATTTATCAAAGTTGAGTGTGAAGTCAATTAAAGTAATGTGATCTGGGAAAAGTCATTTCGTCTAATTGACAGGATACGTGTTAGGTCTCTGAATGTTAGGTCTCAGAGACTTTGACTTACGGAGCCATGTCTGCAAGAAAACAACAAAATGTCTGTTGGCCTGCACCTGCAGACAGAGCCAAACTCACGATAACAGAAAATGCCACAGAACAGCTACTGATTTATAGGCAGTCAGCATTTTCTGTTCAAACAATGCTACCCTGTAAGCACCGCCCTTATAAAACCCCCCTCACCCCCTCCTTCGGGGCTGCAGTCTCCTTTAGACGCATAGCCTGGGCTGTAGTTATCTTTGATCAGTCTGATAGACTTTCTCTCTCTCAATAAGATTTTCTTAACTTGCCTGAGAGTGCATGTTACTTTACTGGCCAACCTATCAGTAGGTAGACAGATAGAAATGAGCAGAAGGAGAAATTTAGCCCCGATTAGAAAGCCCACTGCTGCACGCAGCCCCTACTTGGGTCAAGACCCCTGGCAGCTCCCCAGCAGGAGTCCAGCTTTCACCTACCCCTGAGGGATGTGTTTATACATGCCCCTAAATCAAAAGAGTGTGTTTACTCATGCCCCTAAAACAAAGAAATGTATTGCTAAATGCCAGAGGACTAGGCACCTCAGGGGGAGAAAGAGAGATAAGAGAAGGGAGAGGGGGAGGCCATTCTACCCACAGAAATAAAAGCCCTCATGCAATGTAGGAAGAGGCTGCTTCCCTCTCTTGGGTTAGCCTGCTCCATGTCTCAGAGTGTACTCTCTTTTACTAATAAACTTCTCCCTGTCTTATTGCTGCACAAAATTCTGTCTCTTGCTTGAATTCGTTCCTTCAAGAAGATGAAGAGCTGAGGTTAAATGTCATTTCCCGGTAACACTATCATTTCCATTTTACAGATGAGTAAACTGAAGCACTGAGAGGTTAGGTAACGTGCCTGAAGTCACACAAATAAGTGTCTAAGTGGTAGAACTGGGATTCAGACGCAGGCTGTCTATCTCCAGGGTCTGTACTCTCAACCACAATGATACACTGACTTTAAGATACCCACTGATTTCAAAAATACTGAAATGTGAAAAAAAATGTCTTTGAATTACAATATATTCATAATGTTCAGTGCAAAAGGCCTTGTCAGGCATGCCTCCCCTGCCCTTTTTCCAGACAAGAGCATGGCATGTATTTGCACCTTTGTTTTTTCTTTTGCTTAGTAAATGGCTGTTGAGGGCCTGCTCTGGTCAGACAGACAGTGCTTAGGGAACTCCAATAGTTCACAGCAACCACAACTCAAGACAGGGCCATCAAGGGTAACTGTGTGGCTCAGAGGGCACACCCCTAGCAGGGTGCCACTCACAGGTGAACAGTCCAAACTCACATGTTTAGGAAGATGGTGTTCCAATAGTGGGAAGTTCGATAAAGTGTCTTGTAGAGGGCTGGATGCCTTCTTCTAATTTGCACAAAGTCATCAATGGGCACACAGCAGCCTGTTCGGCATGACCAGAGGTGTGTGCCAGGAGAGGAAGTGGTCAGCCTGGCCTGGAGGGCATCAGCAAAGGCGTAACAAAGGAAGGTGACTCTGAGCAGAGAAAGGGGCAGGAGTGGGAGAAGGGCTTCAGGTCAGCGCAAATGGCAAGACATGGCAGAATGCTACAGAGCTACTGGCGCCCCAGGAGGTGGGGTGGGGATGGCGGTGAGCTCTGCTAGGGACAGCTGTCTACCCTGAGCCGCTGCGCTCTCTGCAGGTGAGGGGATGCAGCAGGAGAACGACACAGCAAGGCCTGCTGGAGACTTTTGTTTGTTTGTTTGTTTGTTTATTTTATTCTTATTTTTGTTATTAGTTTCAGGTGTACAGAACAATGCAATAGTTACCCTTTTCACCCCTCACAAAGTAACAACCCCCTCTCCCATCCACTGCCCTCCCACCCCCAATATCATACTTATCTATTACAATTCCATTGACTCCATTCCCACACTCTACTCCACATCCCATGACTATATGTATATACAACTATAGTTAACATACAATATTATTCAACATCAGCTTCAGAAATACAGTGCGGTGGTCAGGCCTCTACACTGTCTATGAAGTGGAGACTTTTTTGACATATTAGCAAAGGCAAGAGCTGTGACCTAGGTAGTAAGAGAGTGGGTCAAAAGGGCAGTTTATTAAAATATTTAAGATAGTTCTTATTTATTTGCTAATTTGTACACCAGCTTATTCCAAAAGGGATGATGGGTTAACAAGGATACATACATTAGAAGAAAAAAAATGGATAAGGAAATGAAGACAAATGGAAAATAATTTTAAGAAAAATACAGCTGGGGTAAAGTAAGTGCACAAAATTAAACACTCATGCACTAGACATTTCTTCAAGGTGGCCACAGATCTGACACTGAGTTTCCTCTCTGCTGAGCAGAAAGGGGAGATTGAGCAGTCACAAGGGCACAGTGTCCGTGGGGTAATGTGAATCAGCAGCACAGGAGGAATACAACATTTCCTAGTAACATGAAGCCTGAGAAAGATCTCTTTCATGCATGCTTAGAAAGGGACTCTCTAAAGTGGCTGTTGTTGCAAACAACATCCCCAGTATTTTTAAGTTCACAACTTTCAAGTAACTGGTTTTTTTAATAACATCCCATAATGAAAGCCACAACCATAGTCCAAGAAAAAAACAACACACAGAATTTTATAAATGGCCAAAATAGTGGAGACTTAGTGGGAAGCTCTGATGGGCTACCCTGATTCAAAGGAAGATGGGGCAGTTATTATCCACCAGGTCTCCAGGGAGCTGCTTCATATGTCAAAGTGGGATGACAGGTTTGAGACCTGGGCTGCAAGAAAGGGAGCTCAGCCCCTACCCCTTTTTAACCAGCTTCAGTTTACCTGCCCCATTAGCTGTCTTTTGAAAAGTCTTCAGTAGCCCCCCAACCTCAACAGAAAATAAAATTCAAAAAGGCACTGCAGAGAACTAGAGAGGGATTTTTGGTTACCTCCAGGAAGGCTACATTGTAGAACTAAGCTTTTGATAAGAATTGAAATTTTGGGGCCGCCCGAGTGGCGTGACGGTTAAGAACTGGCTTGGGATGCCAGAGGGCCCCAGTTCGGATCCCACATATGAGGGCCAGTGACACTGCCCTCCACAGCTAAGATGCTGAACAACAGCTCAACCTGGAGCTGGGCTGCCGTGAGTCGCCGACGATGGCATAGGCTGCAGTTCCTGTGGCAATGGGTTGCCATGGGCTACCATGTGGGGCCAGCAGCCAGCGTGAGCGGCCAGCAGCTGCAGTGACGGCCGTCCAGAAGCCGGCGACTGATGTGCCTCACCCAGGAAGAGCGCAATGATGGTGCCAACTTGGGCCAGTGAAGCAACGTCCTCCACAACTAGACTGAAGAACAAAAAACGACAGCAACTTGTCTGTTCCCCTTCCCCCAATTCCCCAGCACTGTTCCCATCCCCCCAATGTCCCAATAAAAATCTTTAAAAAAAAAAAAGAATTGAAATTTTTTTAATTTGATGTGAAAATCTGCAAGAAGCTCAAATTCAATTAGTCTACTATGCAGTCAATTAGGGGAAGATTTTTTTTGCTTTACAATTAACCAAGAGGAAAGAATTGCAACCCATTTTGAAAATTAAGAGGTTGGTTTAGCTGCAGGAAGGTGGAAAAAGTATATTAAGTTCTCTCCAGAAACCAGTCCTAGTAGCTCTGCTCTAACATACAAAGGGTATGTTAAGCCCCCCCCCCAAAGCCAATGGCTTACAAACTTTTTTTTTAAGTTCTGAACCCCTTTCTAGAGCCAATGTGCAATCTGTCAACTAGATGCCTGCAGATCTGCTCCAGCTGGCACAGGGTTGGCAGCCTCTCTGTTTATCTCCCCTGGAGCCCATGACTGGATGAAGGGGTATGCAGGAAGCATCACTAGGGGGTGAACAGAAGAAGCAGCCAGAAGGTTTCAACCCCAGGCAGGATCCAACTAGGGAGGGGTGGGAGCAGTCCAGTGGTTCAATCTCAACTTTGGCTGCACATCAGAATCACCTGAAAAGCTTTAAAAAAAGAAAAGAAAAGAAAAGAAAAGAAAGAAAAGCCCAGTTCACACCCATATCCATTAAAATAGAATTGAGGGATGGGATCTAGGCATTACTGTTTTTTAGCCTACTCAGGTGATCCTCATATGCAGCCAAACTTAGGAACCAGTGTCTACCGGAACAAAACACAGACAAGGCTGGTTATTTGATCCCTTAGGAGTTCCTGGGAAGTTAGAAAACAGAAACAGCTTTCCTCTATCTATGCCACACACACCACCTACCCACCGTATCTTGAAAGATTTAGAGCCTGTGGCAATAAATGAAACAGATGTCTTCCCATGATTCTGAAACTGGACTACAAGCAGACCATCTTAGCAGGGCAGGTCAGATGGTGGGAGCCTCAAGTAGAGATTCACCAATCCCTGTGATGAAATCCCTTAGTTTAATAACTGGTGAGCTCAGGAAACCCTCACAGCAAGACAATCATCCCAAAACCCAGCTGAGAAAGATGGACCAAAACAAACTACAGATAAAAGTCCTTGATTTTTAAGAGGCCATTTTTCTCACACTGTAATATTTCTGAAATTGGGCTGTGCCTTACAAGCTGAGTCTATTTATTAAAGTGATTCTTTTCTCTACACTACCACCCCCAAATTGTTAAAACCACAGTTCATCTTAATATGCTAGCTAGAAGCAGGTATTGCAGGCAATTGAAGTAGGAGCAAGGTCATAAGTCTGTTCCTGAACCCAGGGCCATGTGACCTTCCCAGTAGGTCTACCAACACTTATGGTTCTTTTCTAGCTGTGGGCTTTATTAGGCAGGCCCCCTCCAGGCATAATGTAGCGACTCCCTTTATTTTCTCTGGTAACATATGGCAGGCCCGGCTTGTACCACATCTGAATGACTCCTTGGGTCAGGCACAATGCAGGATATTTTATATGCACTAATACTGTTTTTTTATAATAACTATGAAAGGTAGATATTGTCTTTTCTGAGCTAGGAAAAAATGCCTCAAGAAAAATTGTGAAACTTGCTCCTGGTCAGCAGCTATTCCACAGTAGAGCTATTACATTGCATCTGTCTGACCCCAGAGGCCATGGTCTTTCCACTGAGAGACAAAACCCATGTTACAGACCATGGATTTCAGAACAATCAGCTTCTCATGTGCTGTCCAAAAGCTACTTTAAAAGTTTGCATGTGCTATCTTCAGGAAAATCATTGTTGTTCTGGGAAATAGTTTTAATCAATATATCACGAAGTTACAATTTTAGGGGTCAAGACAAAACAGAGAGATATAAAATCTACTTAGAGGCTACTGGGAGGAGAAGGGGAGATATAGCTTCCCTATTTGTTGAATGACACTGCCCACTACTACTACCACCCTGAGGATTACATATCCTTTCAATGCTTCCAGCCTTTATAAAATCAAACCATGATGGGATAGGCAGGGGAGGAAATCATGCTTAAAAAAATAGAAATGAAAAAATTAAGGCAGTAAGAATTAAAATTAGAATGAAAGAATGATAAGGAACAAATAAAACCAAAAAGACCAAAAATGAACAGAAAAGTTAGAATTTAAGAAAAAAAATATGAATAGCAAAATAAAGAAATAAAAGGCTAAACTTTAAAAGATAAAAGGCATTATATTTGAGATAAAGGAGACAAAAAAAGTAATACCAAAAACAAAAATATAAAAGCATGCAAGTAAATATGATAAGATATTTTTTAAAATTCTTAAATGTTCCCACCAAAAAAAACCCAAAAGCCGAAAAACAACCAAACAAAACCAACTAAATATGTGAGATGATGGATTTGGTAATTAACTAGATTAGGGGTATCATTTCAGTGTACACATATATCAAATCATCACAATGTGTACTTTAAATACCTTAAGACTTTATTTGCCAATTATACCTCAATAAAATGAAGGGGAAAAAAAAAGGTGATTATGTTAAAATGAGGCCATTCGGTTGGAGCTCTAACCCAATTTGACTGGTGTCCTTATAAGAAAAAGAGACACCAGAGATACAAGCACCAAAAGAAAACCATATGAAGAAGCAGAAAGAGGGAGGCCATCTATTGGGTTGTCGGAAAACTCATAACGTATTTTTTTCTATATTTTTTTGTTGTAAAAATGCATCATGACTTTTCTGACAATCCAATACAAGCCAAGGAGAAGGGCCTCAGAAGAAACGAAACCTGCCAATACCTTGATCTTGAATTTCCAGCTTCCAGAACTGTAAGGAAATAAATTTCTGTTGTTTAAACACACCCCATCCCCCCATGTCCCCAATTAAAAGACTAGGATGTTAAGCATTTAAAAAATTAAGCATAAAAATGTTAGTGCCATCTTTTCAACCCAGTTTTGCCTCTGGAGTCTTAAAATTATTAAATGCTTTTACAGGAAAAGTTTTGCATAATATTTCATTCTTAACAGGCTAATCCTGAGGCAAGCACCTTGGCATGAGTAACTTCACCCCTTTGGTTCAGCTGAGTTAAGGATGTTAATACAAGGTTGTCCAACATTCTTTCTATCAAAAGTATGTTAGT